CATCACAGCTGAAAGCTCTAGAACACAAAGAAGCAAACTCCCCCAGGAGGAGTAGACGCCCGGAAATAATCAAATTGAGGGCTGAAATCAATAAAGTAGAAACCAGGAAAACAATACAAAGAATCAATGCAACGAAGAGTTGGTTCTTTGAGAAAATCAACAAGATAGACAAACCTTTGTCCAAACTTACCAAAAGCAGAGAGTGAACACGCAAATTAACAAAATCAGAAATGAAAAGGGGGACATAACAACAGACTCTGAGGAAATCCAGAGAATCATTAAGACCATTAATATTAAGAGAAATTAATGACCATTGACTGATGATTTCTGTTATTTTTGCATTTGTTTGGTTCTGGTGGTATTGTGTGTGTGCTTCCCTTTTGCAGAGGGTGGGTTGGTAATGGGGGATTATCTATTGCCTATGTTTTTGTGAGGGTAGCTAAATTCTTTGGGTTGGAGTTTTCCTTTCAGTATTTTCTGTAATAATTGATTTATAGATATGTATTGCTTAAATCTGGTTTTGTAATGGAATACCATTTTTCTTCGTTTATAGTGATTGAAAGCTTTTCTGGGTAGAGTAGTCTGTGCTGGCATCCCTGGTCTCTTAGTGTCTTTTGAGCATCTCTCCAGGAACTTCTGGCTTTCATAGTTCCCACTGGGAAGTCAGGTGTAATTCTGATAGGCCTTTTTCTTTTACAGTTATTAATGTTCTTAATTTTCTTTCTTTACACCCCAGAGAATCTAGGAAACAAGGAGGACCCTAAGAGAGACATACATCTACCGCCAAGAAGGACAAAGAGACAAAATCTTCTGAGTAAATTGGGAACATGGGACAGGGGGAGAGAGGTAGAAGAACAAGGAGGGGAAAGGGGGAGAAAGAAAGAGAATATGAAGGATCAGGAAGGTTGAGTTGGAAGAAGAACAGAGAAGGAGAGCAAGGAAAGTCATACCTTGATAGATGGAGACTTTATTGTGTTAACGAGAAATCTGACAGTAGGGAAATTCCCAGGAATCTACAAGGATGACCCAACTAAGAATCTAAGCAATAGTGAAGAAGCTATCTTAAATGCTCTTCTCCTATAATGAGCTAACTTAAATGCCATCCAGTAGATGATGGAAGCAGAAGCAGAGATTCAAAGCTAAGTACTGAACCAAACTCCTAGAATCCTTTTGTAGAGAGGGAGAAGTGATGAGCAAAGGGCTTAAGACAAGACTGGAGAAACCCACAGAAACAACTGACCTGAGCAAGTGGGAGCTCACAGACTCTAGACTGACAGCTGGGAAACATGCATAACAGTGAACCAAGTCCCAGAACATGGGTGTCAGTTCGTGGGCTTGAGTAGAATATGGATTCTCTGGCATTGAAGCCATAGTGCATGGATGGACATTTGGAACCCATTCCCTTTGAAAGAATAGTCTCTCAGCCTAGAAACATAAGGAGGGCCTAGGTCCTGCCCAAAAAATGTGACAGACTTTGATGATCTCCCATGGGAGGCCTCACCCTCCTTTAATAGTGGATGGGGATAAAATGGGGAGATGGTGGGGGGATTGGGAGGGCTAGAGGGAGACAGAACTGGGACTGGTATGTAAAATAACATTTTTAATTTAAATAATAATTAATTTTAGAAAAGAAAAATAAAATATCACAATAAAAAATGTTATGAGAGCTAATTGGGAAAAGTCTAAGATAAGGCCAAGTTTTCATAATTAACAAAAGTCCCTTAGTCATTATTTGTGGACTAGCACTCCAAAGATAGTTGGACAAGAAAGCTGGCAACAGTTCTATGTTTTAGTCTCAAGCCATTCTCACACACACACACCTGGTTCAAAAATAAAAAGATATCCAAAACGGTTACCAGACTTTCTGTGGTACCTCACATCAACATCAGCAAGTAAATAACAAGTAAGATTTACTTTTAATGCCTTTCTTTATTTCAGTGATCTACCATCATCACTGGAAAGATTCTTGAATTATGGGAAACACAGCTCATCCCCAGGCAGCTGAGACCTTGAAGGCCCAATGCGATTCTCTCCCATGCAATCTATTGTCTTCCTCAGCTTTCCCACTCTTTGTGTACTTTAGATTTCCCCACCTCTATGTGGAGGCCATTCTTGTTTTCCTTCGTATTTATTTTTAGAATTCAGCTATGTTGATTGAATGTCTGAGGACTTTCTTCCAGGGTTTCTAATTGCCTTGAAATGCTTCTTAATGGATATTTTAAGACATCCAGAAATAGTCTAAAAAACTATACTATTATTAAATCTTAGCTGCTTTTATCCCAAAGGATTTTCATGAGATTTTCTATTATATCACTATAGCCAACAATTTTTTATTTTAATTTTCATTTATTTTATAAATCCCAGTTCCCTCTCTTCCCATCCTCCCATATCCCCACCCACCCCTGCATACCACCTCTATCCACTCCCCAGGTAAGGTGAGTCCTTCCATGAAGGATAATCAAAGTCTCTCACATCATTTGGTGAAGGGCCTAGGTGAGAGAGTATTCCATGGATTTTCATGGAATCCCATGAACAAACACACACATACACACACACACACACACACACACACACACACACACACACACACGTGTAGTGAGGGAGAGAGATGAGGAGCACTTTCAAACAAATTCCTAAGAAACTTACATTTTGCAAGAGAGAGGCTTTGTCAAAAACATGTATGCTCTATGGTATTCATCGTCTTCTTATCATGTAGTTGAAAATGCCTCTGTCTTATGTTCATTAGTTTTCCTTTTCTTGGATTATTTACATTAATTAAATATGTTTCTGTCTGTTCATTACCTTAATGATGATCCATACTCTTTCCCTTTTATAGTTTGGACAGGCATCATTTTCCTTAAACTTAAATGTTCCCAACTGTTGGTATTACAGGGAGATGATCAAAGTGATATGAAATATGGCACGGTGAGTGAATATAGTCTGCAAAGTGTTAGGGTTTGGTTTATAAATGTTTTCCAAGTTCTTTGCTGAAGATTCTTGTGTTGGTTCTCAATGAAGCAGTATTCGGAAACAGAGTCTTTAGAACATATCTCATAATGGTTCTAGTCTCATGAATTAATTGATCCATTTATGGTGTTCAGCAGTTACCCTCACCATATACTTGCAGGACAATTTACTACTGATCCTCATGCCACCATCAATAGTACCTCAAGATCATGGAACAAAATCTAAGAATTTGTGAACTAAAATAAACGTTTCTTCTTTGAAGCTGATTTTCTTAGGTATTTTTTGTAAAATAAAAATATTATCAATACAGACTCAATTTTAAATCTGGATCAGTTCAGATAGATTTTAAAGTTTCCTTAGAGAACATAGTGCTATACATAAAATCAGTTTCTCATATTTCTTCTGCAATATCTAGTCAAGTAAACAGCGGTCAGGGCCTCACAGTTTCTGCTACTCGTCCATGGCTCCCTGCATGTTCATGAAAATATCTGTTTCACATTGGATTCCTTCTTTCCATAGTAATCTTTGGTTATTTTGTTTTAATATGGTACATTTTTGGCTTGAGGGATTACTTGATTTCTACTAGTCCCTGCTTGAATATCTTGCCATTGGTCCACCCTGGAATCCAGGTAAGACTCCAATTGACACTAAGCCTGATAATTCTACTCTGAATTTTCGAATGTTTTGTGCATTTTAGCAAGCTACATTCCCTTTTGTTTTTATACCACTGGACAAATTCCTTTTATATTCCTTTCACAATATAGAAGAGTCAAGGATGGCTCAGGAAAGATTGCTCCATGGCTTCCCACTTTACCAAGATTTACTTGGTTCAACAAACATGTATTCTGCTGCGCTATCAGAAAGGTTGAGCAGTCACTCTGTTAGTCTTCTATATGGCTTTAAAGATACAGACAATTGAAACCCCTTTTCCTTTTAACCTTGAGTACTAAATCTTACATTTGTCAAAGACAATTAGAAAAGGTGTCTCCAGTTTCCATCTTCCGTCTGCATCAGTGGCTGAATATTATGGTATCTCAATTTTAAACTATTTTGTGAACTTTCTCATCATTTTTCAAATTGTCCTCATCATTTAAAATCCCAAGATCAGTGCATTAAAGTCATAAATTCTCCCTGCTCTTCAATGACTGATTCTGGAGAGGTGAACCTATCAACATGCTTCAGGATGATCTTATGGCAGATGTTAAACTTCTAGGCTAATCCCCTGAGAAAAGAAACTCAGAGACAGAAATTATGGGCTACATTTGAAAACAGGAAATAACAGTGCCTCCGTAATGAAAACTCTAGGGGCTTGCAATTGGCTCTGCTTAGGACACACTTGCCAACTTCATCTCACTAGCATTTCTTAGACTGATTGGGTGCTGCTTGTCTTGGAAGTCTTGACTGGTTACGAGACTTGGTCAGGCTTTCTTCATATAGAACCATGGTTACTTTCCATCCTGGGTTCTTTTCTATGATATTTCAATCAGTTAACTTTAAGCACCTCTGCAGCATTCTGTGTAACTCTATCATTCTCAGTGTTCAGAAAATTATTCCCAGTGAATAGGATAATGTCTAAGTAAAGAAAAGATTTTAAACAATAGTATTTTAAAAGTCAAATAAATATGTATGCATGCTTTTTAGTAAAATAAAAATCTGGACCTTCTATTTTCTGGTAGATGATTCTGAATACCCTTTTAGAATAGTGGGAAATTTCTAAAAGATAAGTTGTTCTATTAGCACTATGTGGGCACATGAGAATATGCTAAATTCTTTAGTCCTCTTTTTGTAGCTTAAAATATGAAATGAGTTCACAGAGGTGGAATCGTTTCAGGCAATTGAAGACCAAGATTAAACTGCTTCTTATTTCCCCTCTGAGAAAGAATCATTTATCTCCAGTGGAACCATCAGAATCCTGGAAAAAAATAAAAAATGTGAATTTATACAATAGGGCTCACTTTCTGAGATGCTCTTCCAATGAATCATGAAGTCTGGGTTTTTTATTTGAACTATTCTGATGCAATTTTCCTCCATAGATTCAACTTACATTTGAGACAGTTCTTCATGTGAACTTAGGACACTGGAAGGTTCCTTCAATGGACAGACTTTGTAAAATCCCCCTGACAGGTCTGTATTAGATACCTGGATACCAATCTTCACACCTTTGCAAAAAGTGGATGATTCCATAGAATTAAGGAACCTTGGCATTATTTCTTTGGACGTTCCTGACAGGTACTAACTAAATAGTGAAAAAGGAACAGAAGAGATGTCCTTTACTTGGAGATATGACTGTACTTGGAGGGCATTTTGAGGGTTATGTAGAAACCTAAAGCTGCTGAAACTCCCTGGAATCTATGAGAGTGGTTCTAGTGAAGATTCCTAGTAGTAGGGGATACAGAGCCTGAATCAGCCATCTTCTATAGCAAGACAAGGCACCCAGAATTGGGACTTGGACATTAACCACTAACACAGCCATAAATCATCTGTAAAACCTGCAAGAGGTACTGGGACAATGGTGGCAAAGGTGTGAAAGTGGCCAAACAGTGACTGGTCTAAATTGAGACCCACTAATACTACCTGAATGACCAGAAACCAGAGGCAGGAAAGCAAGCCCAGAGACCCAGCATAGAACCAAAGATGACTGTCAAAAATCAATTAAATCATTCCTAATGATATTCTTCTATACTCATACTCATTAGAAGGACATCATCCAGCAACTTATGGAAGGAGGTGCAGAGAACCATGGTCAAACAATAGGTCCTAGCCAGGAAAATCCAGTAGAGGGTTCAGGGGCTGATTGTAGGAGCCAGACGGGTCAAGGATATGATGAGAACACACCCCACAGAATCAAGTAAACAAGGCTCAAAGGGGCTCAGAGAGACTGAAGTGACAATCACAGACCCTGCATGGGTCTGAGCTAGGTCCTTTGCATATATCTTGTAGTTGTATAACTTGATGTCCTTGTGGGTTTATCTCTGACTCTTTTGCCTGTGCTTGGGACTCTTTTCTTCCTACTGGGTTGCCCTGTCTAGCCTTGTCAAAACCTTGACATAAGGGTTTGGTCTTAGTCTTGTTGTAACATATAATAGAAAACATATAATAATAAAATATAACATATAATAGAAAAACATATAACATATAATAGAAAAAATGAAAATAATAAATAAGGAAAAAAGAAATGCCTTATTAGAAATAAATCACAATTGGCATAGGGACATTTCTTGAATTAGTTTTTGTCAGGGTGTGACTATTTTTAACTCCCTGAAACCCATAACAGAGGCTATACTTAGCATTGTTTAGACCTCTTTGTTTACCATGACTATATCAGTCATTTAGACAAGGCTCATAAATGTCTTACAGTGTGTAAGAATGTTCCCTGCAACATAGTTACTAAGTATAAATCTAATAATAGGCCAGAAACTAAGAAAAGCTGGTCTCCATATTGACCAGTTATTTAAATCCTCACTAAAAAGCAAACCCATCTCATAACCTACCATCCACTTGATTTAGGACTATGTCCATGTGCTATCCCCACCACAACAGTACATGGGTTTTATCTAGTTCAAGGTTCCATTATCTATGATCCATTAGTGTAATTTAATGGGATTGGTCATCACTATAGTAGCCAATGTATTCATGTAGCACTGAGGTTTGCTCATGTTTGGGGAATTCACTACCAAAGGAAGCTGATACTTTGTGCATACCTCTTTGGCAGCTATTCACAAGGGGCAGCCAGAGTAACCACAGAGGGGAAATATTTGTCTGTCATTAGGTGTAGGATGTGCTCTGGTGTGACTGATTCCAGTGGCACAAGTGTGAATTACAGCTGAAGGCTCCAAGTTTCATCTGTTTGAAGCTATAGCAAATTAAAGGATGTTAATATTTGTAGGACTGTTGGCCGTCTGCTTTTGCCTGGCCTTAGTGATGTCAGACAGGGAATGGTACACCCAAACACTGTTATCTATAGTGAGTTAATATGCACGGCCCTAGGCCTTAGCTTGAGTCCATGACCAGGAAGGTTCAAGAACTTCTGAATAGTTTCACTGCCAGCTTTGTCTCACTTTCAGAACTTGATCATTGACAACCCCCCCAACCCTTACTCCCAGTCATTCTTTCCTCTTATCTCAGTTCTGTTAACAAGGAAAAGCATTTAAAAAACTTACTTTGTAGCAAGATATACCACCTTAAACCATAGGGCTGGAAGGCAGAAAGATTAAGTGTTAGGAAACTGCAAGTTTTAATGGGATATTGAAGTCACAAAACACTAACTCTTCACACCCCTCCCCATATCTCCTACTGTGACAAATTCAGGACAAAATGTTGGCCTCTACAAGTCAAAATATAGATTATACTGTACATCTGAAACATATCTGCTACTTATAGCATGCAAGTTTCTGCCCAAGTAATCTGCCCTATCTGCATTCTCTCCTCTTTCACGCTTGTCTTTGCTCTCACTGGCAGTATGCTTGCTTGTGGACTTTCAAGATTAGAGATTGAGCTCCTTGTATCTGCCCTTTAGTTTGGGTAGCATGCATGGTGATAATTGCTGAAAGAAAAATACTACGTTATGTTTCTGCACTCCTAAGTGATGATCACTTGTCACTGCTGATGCAGTACATGCCACTGCATTTCTACAAACTGCTTTCACCTGGTCTCCTTCTATGTGACTTGTAGCATTGATACATCTACTGTACTCCTAATAGGCCATGTACATTTCAGTCACACAAATCCCAAATCTTCAAAGCAGGGTGGACCGGTTAGTTTTTGTTAACTTGATGTGGACCTAAGAATACTAGGGAATGTGGAACCTTGGATGAGAAATTGCCTTGGCTTCCCCTCATAATGAGTAGTAACTTGTAAGCCAAGCAAATCCTTTCCACCCCAAGCCACCTTTGGACAATGTGTTTATCACAGTAACAGAAAGCAAACTGGAGCACTGGGCATTTCCTTCTGAGTAAAGGAATACTTCTGGTTTGCTATGTCAACACCTGGCTAGTTTGTGGATTATGCTAGAAGCTATAGCAAATAGGCAGCAATACTTCAGTGGTGTAATGTAGTAAAGGTTTCTTTCTTCCTTGTTATGGGTTTAGGTACTATCCCTGGTTATCAGAGATCTTCCATTCATGTGGTGATACAGGGACTTTTTTTTGTTCCTGAATGAATTCGTTTAAATGTCATCTAAGTATTGTTGGTAAAATCAGTAAAGAAACTGAAAGATATGGCAGACTCTGTAACCTGTGTTCCAAACCCAAACTGTTAAAGCTGAAGCCAAGTGACATGAGTTATGTAATTTGAGCTGCATGACCACTTCTACTGTCACAGGAGGCAGGTGATATAGTGAGAGTGTACGTGTAAAAAAGAGAGACTAACTCAAAGTTTTTAATAGTTTTCAAGTGGTGCCTTAGTGTACAGGACCATTTACAGTGTATAAGAATAAAGAAAACAAAAAGCTGTTTGTCCTGCACCATCAAAAATGGATTAATGGAACAATGCAAAAGCTGCAGGGTACTGAATGGAGGAGTTAGACAGTCTAAGAGACAGACAGACACTGGGAGAACAGAGGAGTAACTTTGCAGGGCCTTGCTGAAGACCTTAATCTCTATGAGCAAACAGTAATGAAGTGAGGAGACAATATTGGTGCTAATCAAGGACTTTTGGTTGACCTAGTGGCAATGAAGCCAAAAGAGTTCCTTTGTCATATTCATCAACTAATTTTGCATAATTTATTCCTTTTCTGTATTTTTGCTTAGACTATCTAAGGAAAGGTTTTGTGACAAATTACATAGCAAGTTATGTAGCTATAACTTGTACTGGCTAGTCTTCATGTCAATATTATATAGGCTACAGTCATTTGGGAGAAGAACCTCAGTTGACAAAATGCTTCCAACGTATTGACATGTGGACAAGCCTGTGTTGTATTTTCTTGACTGATGTTGGTAGACTCATGCAACAAGGGTTGGTGCCACCAGGGCGATCCTGAATGATATAAGAAAGCAGTCAAGCAAGTCATGGGAAGCATGCCCTTAAATAGAATTTCTCCATGGATTCTAATTCAGTTGCTTATAGATTTTTTTTATCTGAGTTCCTACTCTGACTTCCTTAAATAATGGACTGTGATCTGTAAAATGAAATAAATATTTTATGGTCATGGTGCTTTATCACATGAATAGAAAATTATCTAAGTCATGATTTGCCTGAATCTGTATCACAGAATTCCCAGGTCACCTGTATTCCTATGTATATTCAGAGACTGAAGAGATGGCTCAATGGTTAAGGGGTATACTGTCCACTCAGAGGGTGTGAGTTCATTTCCCAGTACTCACTCAGAGTGGCTTACAACTGCCTATCACTCCAAATTCAGAGGTTCTGACACACGTTTATGGTGTCCATAGGCACAACACTTTTATACACAGACCTACGCCCAGACATCTCAAGAATTTGGAACTACTGACTTACCTTTTCTGTTCCAAGTATCTGGGACCCCTTTATTTCTCTAGGACTTATGCTTGTCTAACAAAACAGGAATAAGTGAGAGTTGTAGGAGGAAGGCAAGTGGGGCTGAGGAGATGGCTCAATCAGCAAAGTACTTGACAAACAAGTACGGGAAGCTCAGACCAACCCTCTAGATTCGATATAAAAAGCCATGCCTTTCATCAGGTGCATGAAACTCAGCTCTGAAGTGGTGAATACAGGAAGCTTGCTAGGCAGCTTGTTTAGCTGTACTGGGGAGCATCAGGTTTGCTGACAGACCCTGTCTCAGGAGAAACGGCTTACAAAGCAGTTGCTGTTTAGCACACAATTAGGGTTTAGCTCCCATTTATCCACATGGTGCCTCAGAAAATGTGGTGGAGAATGATTAAGGAAAATGCCCTGATGTCAATGTCTGCCCTCAATGAATATACATGTATGCTGTTCACATTCATACACACACGTAGGAACAAGTACAGGTATAGACACACACACTAACACAGGGAGAGAGAGAGAGAGAGAGAGAGAGAGAGAGAGAGAGAGAGAGAGAGAGCAAGAGAGAGAGAGAGAGAAAGAGACAGAAAGAGAGCACCCTATTCACATACAATGAAGTCAGATAATGTCCTAGAAATTTGAATAATGAGAAGTTCCATTTGATTATACACTGTGAGTTGATGTAGAATTAGGAAGGAAAAAGGCTCAGTTCTGATGAGCTGATTATATGAGTAGTATCAGAAACCAGAGTCAAAGTCCGTGGGGGTGATCTTTAGAGTTACAAGTGGGTTTGGCAAATTATAAACTCCTGAAGTGAAAATCTTTGGGGGAAAACAGGAACCTGAATGAAGGAAATTAAATAAAAAATTTGTGGCTTGTTATCAAAGGCCAGGGTGGCAGGTGAGTGGCTGACTTATCTGACTTTTTCACAATAGGCTTTGGGAGGTAAGAGGACATTTCATTATATAAATATTTATGGTCCTTTGTGTTCTGTACTTCTTGCATATAAACGCACCAGCTGGAAGACATAATGCAGCAGAACTGCAGGAGTGGTCATACAGTCCTTTGTATCTGTATTAATTTCTTCCTGTTATGTTGAGAACACGTCTTTATACAGCAGGCAAGAAGGTGAGAAGCCATACATTCTTTTTTTTTTCTCTCCACTTTGGAGTGCTGAAGTCTAAACTTTAAACCAAGGTTTCAATCATTGCTACAAGTTATGTGCATAGAAAAATATAATTTCCCACTGTGGTGTATATTATAACAGCAATTCTTAACTTTCAGTTGGGGAGGAGGTAGGTGTGTTGTGTTTATGTTGCTTGAGGATAGTATGGTGGCTTTGATCACAGATGTGCAAAAAGCAACTTTTAGAGGAGCAACTTCCACAGATAATGAGATATTTTGAAAGAGATAAAATCATGCCCCTGAAATTGGAACTGAACATTTATCTAATAAGGTTGCTATTTCATTTATTGTAGAAATTTAAAGAAATGTTTTCAGTAGGAGATGTTGCTAACAAAAATTTCCCTCAGAGAAAGCAAACTAACTTGCTTATTTAATTTATTCTATTGTTGAGAGTGTTGGGGTGCACACGGTCTGCTCCAGTGGCTGTTTCCTGGCTCAGGGTTCTTTGGTCAACAGTTGATCTGTCTCTTTGCTGGGTGATGGATGATTGTTGCGAAAGATGAAATATTTTATTTCAGGTTGGTTGCCTCTGAAGTCAAAAGCCCCAATTGTTCATTTATCCCAAGTATTCTGAAGAGAAAAAGAACTGTGTGGCACAGGTTTTGCTTTCATCTTGGATGTCATTGTCCTTGACCATGGTGGACACCAAGAAGCACTTATGAGTGGATCACCTCCCGTGTACAGATAAAGCATGGCTACCTGATGCTGTTGATTATTATTTATTCTTACTGTTTTTATGTCTGATTCCATGAGGCTGAACACCGTGACAGTAGTTTTCTTGGAAGATATTTCAAGACAATTAATTTTACTCAAAAGGCTCTTAAAGAAGAAATACGAGTCTCACAATTGCCTTTGTGCAGGAAGTCTGCATAAAACTTCACCCTCTCCCTTCTGGGTTCTCCAGGTCCCTCACCAACATAGAAGAATGAAGTCTCACAATATATTTCACTGACAGTGAACAAATGTGCAGTCATAAATATTATGGTTTCATCGAATGCCTCAACTGTGAAAACAAATGACAGAAAATGTAGTTCACATAACAGATACCGAGGTCAAAAACTATCAGCAAGGATATTCCATGCTGAGTCTTCTACAGTACACATTTCATAGAGACCTTATTTATGGGAACATGGCATGAGTCAGAGCTATTCATAACATGATGTTCTATGGAAAATTCCATTCTCTGCTCTGACTAAAGAGTGGACACACAGCTCTCAAGTCTGATTAATGAGAGTCATAAACATATCCCACCAGGTATAATACAGTAGTTTACAGCTTTAACCTAAATGGATAGATATATTTTTTCCTCATAAAATAAGAAAAATGGGACAGAATGGAATCACTGCAATTCTCGGCAGGACAGTTAGCTGGCTGCAGCCATTCAGAGATGCTCTCATTACCCACTTATCAGAATTTGCTCTCCTGCATCATTTATTCATTACCTGCACTGCAGCATTTAATCTCTTCTATAAATATATTTCTATCTGGAATTAAGATAATGTGCTGTGCTTGTTAGATGTGGCACAACGCAGTTTGTGCTCACTTTAAATCTCACCAAGTCAGAGAGCGTTTTCTCATTCCAGATGCAGCTAAAAATATCCACCCATTAAAATAGTAATCATCATTAAAATTAGTTCGCTGATTTTGCTGATTAATTTTTTTCAGTAGCAAGTATGCTTTCTCAAAAGTTCAATTAAATGTTTCTTTTTGGGCAAATCGAGACTTTTTAAAATATAAAATATATGAAGAAAGAGATAATTAAGAAAATAAAATCTAGGATTTTAAAGCAAGTTTCTTTTAAAAAATGGTAGACAAAATAGTGGAAAGAGACCAGAATGCTTGCTATAACTGGAATGGAGAACTGAGTTCTCTACATGTGCATCACTGGTCTGTGATACCCATACCTTGGGTAAGTTATCTATTTTTAAGTGCACAGTAGAAAACAATATAACAGGCTCAATTATGCAAATGTGAGCACCATTTGTGAGATTTTATTTTTTCTTTGCATTTGTTCTCTCTTCATACATAAGAGACAAGGGTTCATGTTTGCAAGGTTGAAATCACCAACATCAAGTGCAGCTAAAAGAAACCCAAGATGAAGATACAGTTTCCAAACAGCTCTTTCTTCACTTTCTTTGTCTTCAGTAGCATAGTGTAAAGACAGCCATGTTAAAATGTACTTTTAACCCACGCTACTGTAAATTATGGGACAAGAAGTGGTGTTTTTTAATTTTAAACTTTTAGGAAAACCAACTTGCTATTAACAATAATATTTTAAAAATAAACAGGTGCAGGTGCTTTCATTTTAAGTTACACGAGTGTGTTATAGATGAGGAAAAGGAACATTAATTGACCAGATGCTGATGGCTCAAGCCTTTAATACTAGCACTAGGGAGAAAGAGATAGGAGGATCTCTGTGAGTTTGAGGCCAGCCTGGTCTACAGAGCGAGTTGCAGGACAACCTCCAAGCAATACAGAAAAACTCTGTCTCGAAAAACAAAACAAAACAAAGCAAAGTAAAAGAAAGCATTAATTGTTTGGAAAACAAAGGATAGCAGTACAGAAGGCAAAGAGTAGGAAAATTTGTAAGGTTCAGTAATATTTGAATAACATTTGCATATGAGTAGGCCCCCAACTGAAGTTTTAAACACTACATCTGCAGATATTTTATGTATCAGGTTATCTTTAGTGGGTATGTGTCATAAAAAATAATGATATACAATCTGCCATTATGTAGCAATTGTCATGGAAACACTTCCGACTTTACTCAAATTATAGAGAGTAGTGTATCTAGGAAAGAGTAGGGTCTTTGTTATCATGATCTGGTATATAGCAGTCAAATAACAGTTACAGTTAACACAAGGGTAACCATATTCCCATGAGAACAATGCCTATATGAAACACAATCACCCTATTTATTTCCATTAATATGAGATATAAATCTATTTTGGCATTAGGCTGGATTTCATGAATAATAAATAGAATAAAATAATATATGAATTTGTATGAATATGTATTTGCACAAAGATAAGCAGATTAATGATAGATAAAAGACTGATAGACAAAGATGATAGATATGATAGAAGGTGGATATAGTTCAATGTCCCTTATTTGTCAAATATTTTCAAAACTCAATTTTCAATTATAGCATATATAGGTAATTTTTTATTTTTTAGTGAGGGAATATACAATAGGAGAAGTTTGTATATTTGCATGTTTGAAGGACTGGGGTCAACTCTCTCCCTGAACCTGGAACTCGCATATTTGTAGAAACTGCATGACAAGCAAATTGCAGTGATCCACCTATCTCTACCCCCATCCCATCTCCAGTTCTTGGAATAGAGATAAGCCAACATATGAGATTTTCACATGGCTGATGTGGATCAAACACAGGAGGTACTGTTAGCATGACCAGCAGTTTCTTGGTTGAGCCATCTTCTCAGATGGTACTTCCAATCTATGCCCCATGAAAAACCATATAAATTTTATCGCCAAAATGTATTAAAAATAAAACACAAGTATTTCAGACCACCCCCAAAGCCTGACAGTCATACTAAAAGCCTGCATTAATCGTCTTCATGTTACTGCAATGATAAACCTGACACAACTGTCTTAAGAAAAGAAAAGGCTTTCCTTTCTTTTTATTTTCACAATCTTGGTAGTTCCAGTTTAACTTAGGCATCCTTTTAATATGGGCCTCAAACTGACGTTGGCAAATGGAATATCAGGGAAACTATGTACAGCAAACTACTCTTGTGAAGAACCTGTATCCAGGGAGAGAAAATGTGGTCCTATAGTGGCTTTTCAGGCTGTCTTCATCTGTCCTAAGAACCTCTCTGCACTTCTTAATAGTATACAACATCACCCAATGGTACCACACTGGGAAACAAAACTTTTTTCAAAGAGATCTCCTCAGTCAGTTTTTTATTTCTGTGCAAAGATATTATGACTACAGCAATACTTTTTTAAAAATATTTTTATTAATTTTTAAAATTTATATTAGAAACAATCTTTTTTTTCTTTTTTATCATTTTTTATTTTAATTTTAAATAGCTTGTTTTACATGTCACTCCCAGTTCCCTCTCCCTCCCCTCCTCCCGCACTCCCCTTCCCCCCCTCCCTCCGACCCTATTGCCAAATCCTTCCACATAGGGGATATCTAGAGTCTGTCATTTTACTCTTGGTAGGATCCAGGCACTCCCCTAAGAGTCCAGGCTGAGAGAGCATCTCTCTTTGTGCTATAGGCACACGAAGACAGTTTGTATACCAGGGATAGACACTGATCGACAGCTCAGGGCCCCATAGGTTGCCCAGGCCTTCTCACTGACACTCACATTTGGGGGGTCCAGATCAATCCCATGTTGGCCTCCCCACTGTCAGTCTGGGGTCCAAGAGCTCTCCCCTGTTCAGATCAGCTGTCTCTGCTGGTTTTGCCAGCCCATTCTTTGCCAATTTGCTCATCACTCCTCTCTCTCTGTCACTGGGTTCCTTGGGTTCAGTTCAGTGATTGTGTGTTTGCCTCTGCTTCCATCAGTCACAGGATGAAGGCTCCCGGATGGTTATAGACATCAAGTTCATTATCAGGAATGGGCATTCGAGGTGGCCCCTCCACTATTGCTTAGCTTGCCAATTGGTGTTATCCCTTTAGATCACTCGAGGTCACTCTGGTGCCTGATCTGTCTTCGATCCTATAATTCCCTCTTCCCCCTATTCTACCCCCACCCCCTCAACTTCCTGTTCCCCCATGACCAACTCTCTTCCTCTTCACCCCCTCTTTTCTTCTCAGGTCCCACTAACCCCCACCCCTCGCCATGTTCCCCATCCATTCAGAGGATCTTGTCTCCATCCTCTTCTCTTGGGTACTATGCATATATGCATATCTTTTAGGTTCTTTCCTGTTTCCCAGACTCTCTATTTGTGGAAGTGCAGACTGGCACTATCCT